GAGGTATTCATAGAACTATTGGCACGACTCCAATTGAAGTGGTGTGTGATTTTAATCTCCTAACCCCTTTAGATCTCACTCCTCTTTCTCAAAGATGTTGTCTTAAGCTTAGATGGTAGCAAAAAAGCGGAAGCCATGAAGAAACTTCATGAGAAGGTCAGACTTCACCTAGAAAAGAAGAACCAAGAGGTAGCCCAAAAGGCAAACAATGGTCGCAAGAGGATTGTGCTAGAACCGAGTGAGTGGATGTGGGTGCATTTTCGCAAGGAGCGATTTCCCACTCATCGGAAGACAAAGTTGATGTGGGTGTGGGTCCATTTCAAGTGCTTGAAAGACTCAATGACAATTTATACAAAATTAACCTTCCTCCAGAGTATCAAGTTCAATACACCTTCAATGTTTGCGACCTTTCTCCATTTTCAACTCTTGATGATGATGATTCGTCGAATTTGAGGACAAATTCTTTTCAAGAAGGAGAGAATGATGCAATTAGGATTGCACCAAGACCGTTCACTCGAAGTCAAGCTAGAGACCTTCAAAGGATGCAAGGTTTTTTCATGAAGTTAGAGGTCCTTGAGCTTGTGTTGATGGCAAAGAAAGGATTCCATGCCTTAAAGATCGCTTGGGGAAGTGAAGGGAAGACAGTTGACGAAACTGTCACTTTAGGCAAGCAGGAGCCATTCGGTATTTGAAGGGTTTGCTATTACGTGGTGGGAATACACGAAAAGGAGGAGGTTGGAGGGAAAGGCCCAAGTGTTGTTGGCTAAGCACAAAGAGATAAAGGGAGAAAATGGAGGCCAAAAGTTCTTTGATCCTTATCACACATAGGGATCATGTGTTGCAAACTAACCAATCTCATTGTTCCCCATTCTATTTCTTTTCTTTTGCAGGATTATGAGGATGTCTTCCCAAAGGAGCTTCCAAGTGGATTACCCCCCTATTCGGGGAATTGAGCACCAAATTGATTTCATGTCGGGCTCACAATTGCCAAACAAGCCGGCTTATCGAAGTAATCCAGAGGACACCAAAGACCTACAAAGGCAAGTTTAGGAACTCCTCAACAAGGGCTATAGGAGAGAAAGTATGAGTGTGTGCGTCGTTCCAATTCTATTGGTTATAAAAAAAGATGGAACATGGCGCATGTGTGTTGATTGTCGGGCCATCAACAAGATCACGGTAAAGTATCGTCATCCTTTCCCTAGTTTAGATGATACTCCCTCCATCCCTATTTAGTTGTCCATATTTCCTCTTTTAGTTTTTTTTTTTTTTATTAACCGTAGTAAATCCGTTCTGTGACCCGCCTTTGGACCAATCACAGCCTTCTAAACTCGGTGGATAATGGGCCAGCCCCTCTACCCTTCTCCACTTAAATACCGGGCTTCGCTTTGCATGGTGTGGGGCTTGAACCTGCGACCTAAGTCACAAATCCTCCACCTTTTGCCACTCGAGCTTCCTATTTAGTTGTCCATTTTGACAAATCAAGAAAGGACAACAATTTTTTTCCTATTATACCCTTATTTAAATAAAGTTGTCATAAATAAATTAAATAAACTTATGAACTTCCCAACATTGATTAGTTATCTTGAGTTAATTTATTTTGAATTGTAAATTGTACTATAAGGGTAAAATTGTAACTCACTATGCTAATCATTGTTGCCTTAATCTGTGTGTCATTTCTAAAGTGGACAACTAAATAGGGACGGATGGAGTATGCTTGATGAGTTCAATGGCTCCTATTATGTTTGTGAAGGATGGCACGATGCGCATATGTATTGATTATAGGTAGTTGAATAAGGTGACGGTGAATAACCGTTATTCCATGCCTAGGATTGATGATCTATTTGACCAGCTTCAAGGTGCCACAGTGTTTTCGAAGATTGATTTGAGGTCTGGTTACCATCGACTGAAGATTAAGGCAACAGACATCCCTAAGACCGCATTTAGGACTAGTTATGGCCACTATGAGTTCCTAGTAATGTCTTTTGGGTTGACTTATGCCACTGCCGCCTTGATGGACTTTATGATGCGGGTGTTCAGACCGTATTCGTTTTGGTATACTCACGGAACACGAGTGATCATGAGTTGCATCTGAGGATTGTGCTCCTGACCTTGAGAGATTAGCGGCTTTATAGAAAGTTCTCAAAGTGCGAGTTTTGGCTTGAGTCTGTAGCATTCTTGAGGCACGTGGTGTCCAAGGATGGCATCATGGTAGATCCTACAAAGATTGAGGCTATTCGTGATTAGGCTAGGCCCATTTCAGTTACTGAGACTCAAAGCTTCGTCGATTTAACAAGCTACTACAGACGGTTTGTGGAGGGCTTCTCCACCAGTTCTGCACCTTTGACCTGATTGACTCGCCTTGATGTTCCTTTTGAGTAGTCTGAGGAGTGTGAGTTGAGCTTTCGAAAGCCTTAGGAGTTGCTGACTACTGCTCCTGTATTGACTCTTCCAGATGAGGGCAAGGGCTTCACAATCTATTCTGACACATCTGGTGTTGGTTTGGGTTGTGTTTTGATGCACCGAAGCCAGACATTGCTCATGCGTCGAGGCAAGGGTTACATGAGCACAACTACCCTACTCATGACAGACATTGCTCATGCGTCGAGGCAAGGATTACATGAGCACAACTACGCCACTCATGACTTGGAGTTGGCAACGGTAGTTTTCGCGCTTAAGATCTGGAAGCACTACTTGTATGGAGTTCGTTATGAAATCCACACAGATCAAAGGTGTTTTCAGTATATTATGAGCCAGAGGAATCTTAATTTGAGGCAGCTTCGCTAGATTGAGCTTTTCTGAAGGACTGTGACCTCTCTATTCTCTACCATCCGGGAAAGGCGAATGGGACGCCTTGAGTTGCAAGGCACTCAGTATGGAAGTCTAGCCTTCCTATCTACGGTGGAGCGACCTTTAGCTTTGGACATTCGGTCCTTAGCTAATCAGATGGTTCGGTGGGATGTTTCAATCCTTAGCTTATGACTTGTTGGGACTTACAGTTCCGTCTCCAGGTCGTTCATTTAGTTTTAAAAAAATTCAAGAAGATGGCCTCACAATCCAATTCAGACGATTCCATCAGCTCCGAAAAGGTCATTTTAAGTTAGTAGCATAGTCGTCACGGCTCCTGAGGTTTTCAATGTGAGTCTGTGAGATTAGGTGTTTTAACTTTCAAGTTGAAGCCTAAGTTTGACTTTAGTCAACATTCTGGGTAAGCGAGCTCAGATGCGATATCCATTAGCGCGGCTAACTCCGAAGTGTCGAGTTTAGTCTAGAACGACCCTTTATTTAGTTCCCAAGGCTTCTAGGTTAATTCCAAGGCCCCTCGTGGATTTTGGCTTACTTTATACCGAAACGACCTTGAATGGAAGTTTCGATGGTTCCTTTGAGTTTGGAATGTCAAATTCGATGGGTTAGCATATTTTGTTTGCGTGCACGGGGTTTCGAACGAATCCGAGACACCGCATTAGAGAATTCGGAGTTTAAGCAAATTAGCTTAAGTGTTTATATCTGGTGCAGGGTTTTAGCGACCTGAAATCAGAATCTTTAGCGACTAGAATTGGACTTTTAGCGACAGGATTTGAGCTATTTGTATAGCGAAATTGCATCCTCATTTCTTTTTTCAAAAGGCAATTTCTCCCTCGTCCAAGTTCTGATTTGAGTGATTCGAAGTCTTGTATGATCGTTGAGAGCGTGGCTACTTGGGTTTATGATTAGAAGTTGTTTACGAAGACTCGTTTGAGGTGAATTTCTTATTTTAGTTGTTGCCCTCTCTTTAATTTTTGCTTGAATTGGGTTTTTATTGCATGTGTTGTTGTGAGCTATTTTAGGCATTGGATTGCGCTCATGTTTGGAATACAAGTTTGAGGCATAATATAGGACCTCTTGACGGAGTCATTTCTGAAAATTTTGGCGCCGTCCCATGATTCCCGTTTGACTCTAAAAAATGGCCCAACTCTGTTTTGGGTGATTTTTGTGTCTAAACGATCGTATTGACGTTGTGATCCTATTTTTGATAGTGCGGCAGCGTTGAAAGGCTGTTCAGAAGGGAAAAGCTCTACCCTTGAGATTTGGAGCGCGCGCGATCGGCTTTCAGGTAGGCTACAACTTCCTTTCTATCTAGATTGAGCCTGAATGTGTGAACTCATGTTGATTAGTGTGAATTGGGGGCGGGGGCCTAGTATTCTTACCTCTCTTCTTAGATACCATGTTTTAGGTTTGATTGGCATTTTTTCGGGCATAGTACCTTGCTAAGTTGAGTGGTTTGGGTTTGTGCATGCAATCTGAATTAATTGAATTTACTTGCTTTCTGATGCATGTCCAGCCTAATGGAAGGTCAAGATAAAAGGAAAGAAGTTGGAACATAACAAAAAGCGGGGACATGCAACAGTTTCCACGGGTAAAAAAACTGGAAAAGGCAAGCACATCAAACCTCGTCCAAACATATTTGGGACATCATCATGTGGCATTACTCTTCCATTATCCTATATAGAAACAAAGTACAGTAATTGAAGTCCTTTAGGGAAGAATAGTCTTCCACTAACTTGCAAAATTGATTTAATTCAACAATGTATTTTTCTTGTCTTGCATATTGAGAGCAGAGTCAGCATATAGAAGAACAAAGAAAAACAGATCATACCTTGCATGTCACCCTATAATATGATGCCTCCCTACTCCTAGTTGCCTTTGTAGCTGCAGGGTCTTTTACTTTCTTCCCAAGAGCAACATTCTTTGCTTGAACGAGAACCCGAGCTTCCTTGGCAAGTCTTTCCTAGACACAGTAGTTAGAAAAATCACAATGCCATCTAACGAAATTTGCTAGAAAAATATATTTCTTTAGAAAAATATTTCACTAATCAAATTTGCTTAATGTCAAACAGTGAGCATAAGATATAAATCACAATGCCATCTAAGTGAGAGTAAATTACTGCTTACACACATCACGAGCCTTTGCTGTCACAAAATCATCATACAGGGCTTCATCTCTACGTTCATGGTCAGCCGGACCAATCAAGGAATTAAATTTACTTCTGCCAATCTCTTCACTACAGAAAACAACAAAAAAACAACCCAAAGCTTTGAGGAGAGGTTCCCATCAATAACTCTCTGTAAGCTTATTGAAGTAGTTTCAAAAATAGATAAAATAATCACTTGCATGGTTATGTCTACAATGTCAGCCGAATCAAGTGCATTCTCAACAAGTTCTCTCATAGTCGTGTAAAGACATTTCCCAGGCTGAAAATTTGGAAAGACTAACTTGATTAACAGCGCATTTAGTGTAGCATTGTTGAAGTAAGTTCTACCTCATGAAAATTTTGAGCTATTAAAAAAGGAAGAGCCTATTTCATTTAATGCCTTCAACATTCCCTTCAATGTGGTTTTGTTGGCAAATGTCAACAATGTGTGACCTTAAAAACATCCACCTACTCTACAAGAAACCAGTTCCATAAAAAAAACTCCACCTACTCTACTATCATTATGAATATAAGGAACATCTTTTCAACAGGGGGTATAAGGATTCATTGATGAGTTATCAATAGTCTGATTATATGCTAACCACGGGGCATATGGACGTTAATTTTTCAACCTTTCCTTAGTAAAGGTACCTAAGTTTTACTTAATTTTAAGGTACTAGCTGCTGCTCTCCAACATAACAGCTATCAACCAAGAGGAATATTAACTTCACTTTACTTTATCAAAATAAATTAATAAAGCAATATTTTCTTAAAAACTAAAAATCCCATTTATAGTTCTATGGAGACTATGCAACTTTGTTTCTCTTTTTATTACCCTTTGATTGCATTCATTTTTCTTTTCCACTAATCCTTTGGTGTTTCTGCATTTTTGTATTCAGCTTCTCTATATCACTCAAATGCCAACAGGGAAATATTACTTCATTGATACCCTTAATCATCAAACTAATGTGTGATTATAACATTAGAAAAAAGTTAAAATTATAAGACATCCTAAACATATAAGAAACTCACATTGTCAAAACCAGCAATGCTTTTGTTATCTGCAAAGAACTCAGCGGGAGACTCTGCACAAATTTAAAACACAAAATGAAAATTAATCCAAAGAAAAGAAAAGGCAACAAACCATTAAGCTTAGAAGTTTCACCTAGACTCAATTAATAGAAATAGAGAGAGCTTTGTCCATTCAGTATATAATCTGAGAAAGAACCAATACAGCATTCTTCTACATAGAAACGGATGGATCTCTCAATCATGCATACATAGCTTTGTCCATGGCTCTAAGAGATTAGGAAAATGAACTGCCAAATCTCCAAGAGCAACAGTGCTATTTGATCAAACTATTTCAGATAGTGCATTCACCACAAAGTGAAAAGAAGCTGGAGATTTGCATTGCTAGGAAGTAATATAAACACATGTTTGGAAATTTTTACAAATATCTTTACTAATTGATAACGTTCGAAGTACCCTCAAAATAAGTTAAAAGAGTAAGCGATCGTCGTCAATAAAAATACCCAACAAGTGCGTTCGCGAAGGGTCCTTTACCCTACCAAAAAATGCATTTTAAGCTCTTGACCTCTTTTTGCCTCAAGTTAACTAGGTTTCTTCAAATATCTCCTAAATCAACTCTCCATTCCATTTTCGTGCAAATAAGAAAAAAACAACATTAAAAGCACCAATTCTAAACTAAAGCAACCAAAATAACTATGAAAAAAGCCTCAAATGAGAGGAAATCCACCACTCATCACCCCCCCCCCCCCCCCGCCCCCAACGTAAAAACTTAATTGGTCCTCAAAAGTAAGGAAAATCAATAACACGAGAGGCTCTTATTTCAAGACACACCACAAATCAATTTCCCTTTCTCTATTAAGCACAAAGGTAATGGCTTCGGTTGGTCCTAACAAATAGTACACATGCCAAATTTTACCACTCATTAACTCTTTCACATGCTCACTTGACTCAATTAGGAATTTTCAAAATCACCCCTTTTTCAACTTACATGCCCTCACAAGAGAGAAGTGTCCCTGTTAAAGAATGAAAAAAGTCTCACATCGGTGGTTAATGAGATGGGTGGACTCCTTATAAGGCTTGGGCAATCCTCCTCCCTTTGAGCTAGCTTTTGGGGTGTGAGTTAGGCTTAAGACCTAATTTAACATGGTATCAGAGCGCATGGTTCAAATATCCAATGGTTCAATGATCTAATGCTTGAATGAGGTTGAAGACAAGCTCAAGTGGTTTCAAATCAATTTGTAACTAATTTGATGATAAAGAAGATTTTTGTCCAGCTACATGTGGAGAAAAGATTAAAATCATATTTTCAACATTCCTGTTGCTGCATTTTTGAAAATAAAAATAAAAAAATTTAAAACCATTTTTAACCCATATATTTTAAAATTTATTTTTAACCATGGCAAGCAGCAATGATGAAGACTATGTGAACAACGAAGATTATCATGCATGTGAAGTAGGTGAATCAAGTTTTGTCAAGAAAATCCAGCCAAAAGGGGAGATTTGTTAGGGTTTGCCATGATTTTCTTTCCTTATTTGAAGTTTATTTATTTCCTTAAAGAAAAGTCAAAGTATTACCATAAATACTTGAACTTTTTTCTGAAAGGAAAATATAATTTTCTTCCATATTTGGTTTATTCTTTCCTTAGAGGAATAGTTTTGGAGATCTATAAATTGAAGATCCGTATTCTCATAACATAACACAATGTAGTCGTTTAGTAAGTTTTTTTATTGGGAGATTCAATCTATTAGAATAAGAATATGTTTATACAATTCTATTAGAACAGGAATAGAAATAGAAATAGGAATACTAAATAGTATTCTACTTGGTAAAGGATTGTATTCTAGGGTCTATAAATAGGATCTCAATGTAATAATGTACACAACAACAATTTAATAATATTCTTTTCTTATATTTCTCACATGGTATCAGAGCACGGCCCGTCTCACCCGATGTTGGGACCTCCAAAATCAAAATTGTCCACGCACCAGATGCTAAGCACTGGGCGTGAGGTGGGGTGTTAAAGAATGACAAAAGTCTCACATCGGTGGTTAATGAGATGGGTGGACTCCTTATAAGGCTTGGGCAATCCTCCTCCCCTTGAGCTAGCTTTTGGGTGTGAGTTAGGCTTAAGACCTAATTTAACAATCCCAAAACCCCACACATATATAAACAAGACAAGGGGTAAAGATGCAACACACACACACAAAGAATCATCTCATGCACACAAATGTCACACCATAGGCTTACCCATATTTTCAATCAACATTGACTCAACTCCATTTGGTTAGAAATCTCAAAGGACTTTGTGAAGGTTGTAATATAGGCTTAGGGAAGGTTAGGATATCATTTAGGTATAAGTGACTATACCCTCCTTGAACATTATACAACAACTCATCATTTCCAACTTTCTCCACTTTTCTAACCCATGCACATTCCTGGAAATGCCAAATTAATTTAATTCAAAAATGTACTTTTCTTGTCTAACATACTTAGAGCAGAGTCAGCATATAGAAGAACAAAGAGAAACAGATCATACCTTGCATGTCACCCTATAATATGATGCCTCCCTACCCTTAACAGCCTTTCTAGCAGCAGGGTCTTTTACTTTTTTTACCAAGAGCAACATTCTTTGCTTGAATCTCTAGAACCCGAGTTTCGTTGGCAAGTCTTTTCTAGACACAGTAGTTAGAAAAATCACAATGCCATCTAATTAAATTTGCAAGAAAATATTTCACTAATGAAATTTGCTAAATGTCAAACAGTGAGCATAAAATATAAATCACAATGCAATCTAAGTGAGAGTAAGTCAATGCTTACACACCTCACGAGCATTTGCTGTCTTAAAATCATCATATAGGGGTTCATCTCAAGGTTCATGGTCACCCAGACTAATCATGGGATTAAATTTACTTCTGTCAATCTCTTCACTACAGAAGCAAAACAAAAACAACACTAAGCTATGAAGAGAGGTTCCCATTAATAGATTAACTCATTGAAGTAGTTATCCAAAATAGACAAAATAATCACTTACATGGTTATCTCTACAACTGGAAGTTCAGAGATGGATTCAGCAAAATCAAGTGCATTCTCAACAAGTTCTCTCACAGTAGTGTAAAGACATTTCCCAGGCTGAAAATTTGGAAAAGACTAACTTGATTAACAGAGCATTTAGTGTATCATTGTTGAAGTAAGTTCCACCTCATGAAAATCTTGATCTATCAAAAAAAGCGAAGAGCCTATTTCATATAATGCCTTCAACATGCCCTTCAATGTGGTCGATTCTCTTTTGTTGGCTAATGGCAACAATGCGTGACCTTAAAATCCACCTACTCTACAAGTAACCAGTTCCAGAAAACCCCCCCACCTATTCTGCTATCTTTGATGAATATAGGAACATATCTTCAAGAGGGGGTATAAGGATTCAATGATGAGTTATCAATAGTCTGATTATATGCTAACCACGGGGCCTATGGAGATAAATTTCTAAACCTATTCTTTATTAAAGGTACCTAAATTTTATTTAATTTTGAGGTACTAGCTGCTGCTCTCCAACATAATGGCAAATCATCAAACTAATGTGTGATTATAACATTAGAAAAAAGTTAAAATTATAAGACATCCTAAACATATAAGAAACTCACATTGTCAAAACCAGCAATGTTTTTGTTATCTGCAAAGAACTCAGCAGGAGACTCTGCACAAATTTAAAACACAAAATGAAAATTAATCCAAGAAAAGAAAAGGCAACAAACCATTAAGCTTAGAAGTTTCGCCTAGACTCAACCAATAGAATAAGAGAGAGAGAGAGAGAAAACAAACTTTCTTTGAGAATGCTATCTTTAGGTATGTATAAATGTTTGATAATCCAGCCAAACCTTCATCATGTCATTCAGTATAATCTGAGAAAGAACCGATTCAGCATTCTTCCGCACAGAAACTTATGGATCTCTTAATCATGCATACATAGCTCTGTCCATGGCTATAAGAGATTAGGAAAATGAACTGCCAAATCTCCAAGAGCAACAGTGCAATTTTATCAAACTATTTCAGAAAGTGCATTCACCACAACAGTGAAAAAAAGCTGGAGATTTGCATCACTAGGGAGTAATATAAACACATGTTTAGAAACTTTGTTGGTCCTCAACTAATGAAGATAAAATACACAAGAGGCTCTTATTTCAAGACACACCACAAATCAATTTCTTTTCTCAATTAAGCACAAAGGTAATGGCTTCGGTTGGTACTAACAAATAGTCCACATGCAAACTTTTCGCAAAAGAAATCCTCTCATTCTCATGAAACATTTTCAAAAACCAAGAATCATTTAAGTGACAACAACTCAAACTCAAGAAATGACTCAACTCATTAACTCTTTCACATGCTCACTTGACTCAATTAGGAATTTTCAAAATCACCACTTTTTCAACTTACATGCCCTCACAAGAAAGAAGTGTCCCAAAAAATCACAAATATATAAAAAGACAAGGGACAAAGATGCAACACCCTTACATTCACAAAGAATTATCTCATGCATACAAAGGTCACACCATAGGCTTGCCCATATTTTCAATCAACATTGACTAAACTCCATTTGGTTAGAAATCTCAAAGGACTTTGTTAAGCTTGTAATATAGGCTTAGGAAAGGTAGGCTATCATATAGGTGTAAGTGACTACACCCTCCTAGAGCATTATACAACTCATCATTTCCAACTTTCTCCACTTTTCAAACCCATGCACATTTCACACTATTTTTCATTTTTTTTTCTTATTTCCACTCCAGATGCCAGACATACAACCATTTTCAACTTTTGGAGGATTCAAGTCTCATTTATTCATTTCCTTCTTTCTTTTCAAAGGTTTTCTTACTTTAAGACTTTCCATACATCCCTCAATTTCTCTCTTCTTTTTTCCCTTTTTTTTTATATCAATCCCTCGTGTGGTAAAGCATCCCTTTAATGAATTTCCCATAACACCCTAAATTTAGGCTTTTAGCCTCAACTTTCACAACCTCAAGTTCAAGGAGGGAAAGGTTCAAAAGAGGGTTACTGTTTCAAAAAGGAAAAGGCTTGTAATGTGGTTGTCAATAAAAAGGATTACGCTCAAACGGGACAACTAAGGATATATCTATAAAAGGGTGGGATATTTAGGACAATTGGACTTCAAAAACATCAAAGAAAGCCTAAGATCATTTTTCCAACCAAACTCAATCAAGACCAATATTTCAAGACCAACCGGGCAAGTTCTAGGTGACAAAAGCGAACACATGGCAATATTCAACAACTCACCACACATGGCATGCAAATCAATCAAGATGGTTCAAAATCTTACTTCCTTTTTAAAATACAAGTAGCATCGAACATTTTTACTGCTAACGAATCAAAAGTCACAAAAAGAGTGGTAAGAGTTGCCACAAAATCATTCATAATACGCTCAACCTTTTAAAAACTGAGAGGTATGCTCAACACTATTCACATGCATGACTATGCTCTTAGTACTAACCAAGTCAAAACATTCCCAAAAAGACGATGATTTTGCCCTTAAGAAAGTTGTCAACCAATCCATCATCAGGCAACCTCATGCATCTATTCGGGAACGACTACTTAGACTTCGCCACAATCAACACCAATAAAACTCACAAGCAATCGATGATTTAACCTTTAGAAAGTCGTCACTCTCTATCCATCATTGGGCATCGTCAATTCAAATCTTATTATCAAAAAAATAAAATAAAGAAGCTGCAAACTACAAATCAAAAACTAAAATAGACCAATCCAACACTAAATCAACAGAAACATCCACAATATCAAAAGCCCAACAAGGGCACACCAATCCATAACAGAGAAAGAAAAGTACCCCCGACAAGGACATAATCGCGGTATGCAGAAAAAAATCAACAAAATGAGTACAAGGGAGGCACCCCCAACTAAAAATGAGACTATGTCCTCACAGTCCTAAATATCAAAAGAGAATACGAGGGACTACCAAAGCAAAAGAATATTTGCACGTTTACTATAATCAACAGGGAAAAGATTGAGAAGGCAAATGGCATAGGGAAGTATTTTGATAGGAAAAACTGATCTTAGAAAATTGTCATTGAGCATAAGATGAAACTAACCAAAACGTACTATAATGTTGCAGCACTTGGTAGTCCCAGAAACATCTTAAAGCGTGCTAAGGAACCGGTCAGAAAACTCAGCATCGATCTTGCACCCATAGCTTACAAATTGATCAACATTTAAACAGTAGGTTTCAAGTGAGAGCTCCATGGTGGAATGATACCGACAACCTGCCTTAGTTCAAATTACCAAAAAAATTACTTGTTTGAATACCTGAGAGAAGTGCAAAGACTTCCCGTCTTCACTCGTGGATGGGAAGATACTATTCATCAATTTTTTGTGCCTTCTCCTGCAAGATATTGAAATTATTTAGTTAGTTACGAACCACCCTAACTTCTCTGCACAATATAAAGATAAAGATGTCGAAGGATATAGAGATTCTATATCCTTATATAGCAAACATAAGTCATGGCACGAGCATTTAAACTACAAAATCAAAATAAAACTCAGACTCTATAAACAATCATAGAATTCAAGTATGGAAGATATTATTAAACAAGTAATTTATTCCAGTAGTAATCAAAAAGCATTCAACTAAGAACACCCACAATTGTAACTGTCATAAATCAACCAAATCAATTCGCAAAATTAGGAGCACTTACACTACAACAACAACATAGTCAATGTAATTCCAAAAAGTGAGGTTTGAAAAGGGTGTAAGCAAATCTTACGCATATCTTGGGGTAGAGAACTTTTTTCTGGTAGACCCTCTGCTAGATAATCAAGTGATTATAAGATAAAAATAATCCAAGACGCAAACTGCAAAATCAGCATCAAGGCAAAGCAAACTGTTAGTTCAAATGGTTGCATATGCTAATTAGATGCATACTCCTATTGAATGCTTTTCTAGTTCTGTTTTACACTTCCTCTGAAAAAATTATTGTCTAATCATTTTCTCCAAGGAACCTTCATGATACCACCATCTTCAAGTTCAATAATCTTGTACACGTGGAAAACTTGACACACTAAATGCCAAACAAACAGAAAATAAAACACGATATAGGATTAATGTTAGCTTTTAACTCTCAGCTTGACTTTCTGATCATTTAATTAAGGATATGTTATGCCTCCAGGTTTACCACCCTTTTCCCTTGGGCTAATTTCTAAACAGGATCCCCCACTACCTCAAGCCTATAGTATGCGATATATTTACTTATTGTATTTATACTATCATACGTACATCACCCTCACAATATTATTTCTGATAGGATTCCAGCTATGGATAAAAAATCTATAAGGAGTGTCGGTAGATCAATCATACACAAAATGGATGTGAATTTATTAGTTTATGCAATATTATATCCTCACATGTATGACAGTGGAGTTTAAATGTTGCATGACACCCATTATAGTTGTCACATTTTTAACATTTTCAATTGTGTACAACATTAACCAATCACATTTAAACGGTGTTAAACAAATGCTTCATGGCAACGAAAATGACTCGACACTACTCTTTTGGGCACAAGTTTCATGCTACTGCCACAACAAAGATATTGCAAGAGCTATTAGGCCCTTAAATACATTTCCCCTGATAATAAATAACACGAAAATCAACAAATCCCCTCAACAATAATAAAATTTGCATAACAATGCCACAAAAGAAATAAAACCAACAAAACTTAGGCACACAAAACACCACAAATTGACTATAATCAACAACATAAAGGTGCATAAATAACCTCCACGATACTAACTTTTGTGAAGTCCAACAAAAGGCCACACATGACTGGAAACCAACAAACTAAATCCCCAAGGTCACTTTAGGTTTTTATACCCAACTTCTTAATATGGGAAATTAACACGTATAATGACCGCACTAACTGTTCTCCTCTAGAGGTCAAAAGAGTTTTCAGTAAATCCGAACACAAGTATTTGAGGGAGATCATTTTACTGAGGTAATTTTTTGAGCATTATCAATTAGTTAAGGTTTTTGTAAAAATTTCTAAACATGTGTTTATATTACTTCCTAGTGATGCAAATCTCTAGCTTCTTTTTACTGTTGTGGTGAATGCACTATCTGAAATAGTTTGATCAAATTGCACTGTTGCTCTTGGAGATTTGGCAGTTCATTTTCCTAATATCTTATAGCCATGGATAGAGCTATGTATGCATGATTAAGAGTTTCATCAGTTTTTGTGCGGAAGAATCTTGTATTGGTTCTTTCTCAGATTATACTAAACGACATGATGAAGGTTTGGCTGGAATCTGGATTATCAAACATTTATACATACCTAAAGATAGCATTCTCAGACAAAGTTTGTTTTCTCTCTCTCTCTCTCTCTCTCTTATTCTATTGGTTGAGTCTAGGCGAAACTTCTAAGCTTAATGGTTTGTTGCCTTTTCTTTTCTTGGATTAATTTTCATTTTGTGTTTTAAATTTGTGCAGAGTCTCCCGCTGAGTTCTTTGCAGATAACAAAAACATTGCTTGTTTTGACAATGTGAGTTTCTTATATGTTTAGGATGTCTTATAATTTTAACTTTTTTCTAATGTTATAATCACACATTAGTTTGATGATTAGCCGTTATGTTGGAGAGCAGCAGCTAGTACCTCAAAATTAAATAAAATTTCGGTACCTTTAATAAAGAATAGGTTGAGAAATTAATCTCCATAGGCCCCGTGGTTAGCATATAATCAGACTATTGATAACTCATCATTGAATCCTTATACCCCCTCTTGAAGATATGTTCCTATATTCATCAAAGATAGCAGAATAGGTGGGGGGGTTTTCTGGAACTGGTTACTTGTAGAGTAGGTGGATTTTAAGGTCACGCATTGTTGCCATTAGCCAAC